AAAATATTAAAATAAAAATAAAATGAATACAGTGATAACATCCTGATAACATTTAATAAACTTGAAAAAATTTATACATAAAAATGGACTTAAAGAATGCTTCTTAAATCAATTAGCCAAGGAATGCATTTATATTGGATTATTGTTTCTTTATTTTAAAATTATAAATTGGTACTCAAATAATATTTATGCAGAAAACAATTTCGTATTCTAAAGTAATTTGTTTATCAGAAAACTTTTTCCGGGAAAATAGTATTTGAACGGAAACTTTGTTTTAGACTAGTTCAGTTCTGGTATCGCAAATTGGTACAACCTGCCCGGTCTAAAAGCGACATAAAAATAGTTGTTTCGAAAATTGAAAACGATAGAAATGTCTTAGTGAAACAACTTTTGAAAAAAGTGTTTTGTTTCATGAATTAGGTATTCAATACAAAACATTCTGCTCTGGCATTTAAAGCTTTTAAGAATTTTTTTATTTAAAAAACGTATATGTACGAAAAGCCATGAAAGCTCATTGTTCGGGTGCTCGCTTTTAATTCAATATACTCGAGCAACCTGAGTTCAATCCCCGATGCAGGCACCAATGAAATTGTTAAATTTAAATGCTGAATTATCAGTGTAGGTAAGCAGAATACCGGCTTAAAGTGGAAGTATAATAATTTTGCGTTTCGTCTAGTGAGCCAGGTGGAAGGGGTCCAATTTTCAAAAGGTTATCAACGCATCTGCAACCGTCGGGTGTAGCAGATGTCCATGGGCAGCGGTATTCATTTAACATCAAGTGAACCGTCTGCTCGCTTGGCAACTTTATATAAGTGTGTGTGTTAAATTAAATTTTTGCATATAAATATCTGCATATCTGCAAACCTACCGTACGGAGAGCTCCCAGCAAAGCATAGTGTAGTAGCAATGCAAACCGTATATGACAATTATTTTACCAGTACAAAAATGTTAACTAAACAGTTTTATAAACCACATATGATTATATAATGTGGTTCGGAAAATATCGAGGTCCGGAATGTGTGTGCTCTTTTGAACGTGTTAGATAAAAAATGATAACGATAATAGGTAAATATTTTTGGAATGGTGGAAAGAAAAGGCCTAGAATACTTATTTGATTTACTATATTGATTATTATGTACTACTATATACTACTTGATTTTACTATATTTATATTTAAAAAACTGGACTTTGCGACCCCATTTACTGATGCTGCGTCGTAGTGGTTAGTCGGAAATTAACAAAAATATGTGAAACACGGCTCTAACAAATGGGTATACGGAAGCAAGGGCTATACACATTATGTACATAATACATAAATTGCAAAATCCGAATCAGTTTTTGTGACGTGTAAATTAAAAATTGGAATTTTTTAAACATGAAAACAGTGCGAAATTTTATTCACGATTTTTTTTTTCAAAGAACAATTACGTAAGCATTTTTGAGCACCACTTGTATTTTGCAGAGAACATTATCAATTCATGCTAAAGGTACACAAGTGAGCTCATGTCGACCACATATCTCTGGTGAATTCTGTTTGAAGAAAAGGTAAGATAGAATATATATTTATTTATACTAGACTGGCTTGGTAAATTCTGTCAATGATTTTGTTTATTGTGAAATGTTTGAAAATATCTTTTGTATATAAAATATCATCTGCATTCGAAGAAATCTAAACCACATTTTATTTACAATTTTTTTTTTAGTAAAGACTAAAACAAAAATGTTTGTATGGGAACGAAGTCGTTATGATTATATTGTATCTAAATCTAAGGTCATAAGTAATGAATATTTTTTATGAAAGTGTTGCTATTGTTAATTAAAAGCGATAACGCAATGATTCCTTTCTTTTTAAGACAATAAAATAATTGCTGGGAAGGCAAAATCTGGCGCAGGAATTAATCTGAACAATTTATTAAACACACATGGTAAGTAGACAAGATAGAAATTGAAAAGAGATGAAAATTTTCCTCAAAAATGGTCATCACCTATTTTAGCAGGTCTAAATTATTTGATGAAGAAATAGAAAATGAGTTGATTAGATTCTTTAAACCCAAACATAAGAAGACGTATTGCCGAACATTTAACTGTGATAGGGCCACGCAAAACTGTCCGCTGTTGCACGAATGGGCAGGTCTTTCCGGGTTAGTACCACGACCTCACAGTATACTGGCATGAAGTAGAAGTATACATACGTATGAAGTAGAAGTATATAAGAAGTACACAGTATACACTTCTGCGTTTCGTCTGGTTAGTAAGGTAGACGGGGCCCACTTTATTAAAATGTAGCAACGCATCTCCCTACGGGTGTAGGAAATGTCCATGGTCGACGGTTATCACTTAACATCAGGTGAACCCCCACCTCGTTTACCACTTTTTCACATGAAAAAAAAAATCATTTTTAATGAATTTGTAATTTTAAGCTAAAAAATTGTGGTAGAGTTACTACAGCTTAGCTCCTGTTCTTACCAATCGAATTGTTCAACAAATTGGCCAGTTCATTTCGAGAACCACCTAAGAACCGCGTTAATCGTTAAGTTAAAGTACTTAAAAAAAATTGTTTGGACTGACGAGTGAGGTCACCGGTCGACATGCTTGCATGTTCATTTATATAGAAACTTAAACAGAGTATTACAAAGATCATTTTGAAACAATCTAAATACGAAGATTCAAATCAAATAAATAATTGAAGATTTGACAAGTGTGAAAGGTGTTGTGTTTATTTCTTTTTCATAGACTAACAGAATTCCAAATTAACTCCAGCATAGAAATCAGTCACATTCTCCACGAGCTTTCTTGAATGTTTGAATATGAAATAAACCACCTGTTGGCCATAGGTTAAAAAAAATTGCATTCATTATTCATTATTATCAACGAAGCAAATTTTTAACAAAATTCTTATTTTACTGGCATAATGATTGCTCCTATTAAAATGAGAGGATCTAGATTTGTCTTCATTCTAAATTACTTAAACAAAAGTAGTCAACAGCTTTTACTTTTAATTTACAACGGTATTCCTATTCTTGTTATCTTAAGCCGTAATATATCCCATTCTAAACTAAGTTAAACACTGACGATGATTGTAACAGCGGAAACTTTGAATACCCGTGATGAAGTTAGTACGAAAGCATTCAAGCTATTTGAAACCTAGATACACACGGTATGTACCAGTGTACCTGTCAATCACTGTCCAGTTTTACTTTCATGTGGGAGTTGTGATAAGATAAAAGTATAAGACACAATTTTGATCAACTCATGTGATGTGTTTTTTAGCAAATTTCTATCGTAATACAGAGAATCGGAACTATGGGTTCCGAGCTATAACAACAAATCAAAAACTTGTACATTTTACGTGTATAGCACCGTAACACGCTTGTATGAGTAAATATCAATACGTGATTATAGACACGGAAGGTAGCACGGAACAATAATTTGAAGTTTAACATTAATTTACGATAACTTCGTAAGTTTTGATGCGCGTGTTGTGGTTCAAATGTATGTAACGCGCTCCGTTAAAACTAGGCTCTCACGGAAAAGTACACGAAAAGGCACCAAAAAAATACCAAACTAGTGTATTTCTCGAGCTCTATCCTGCGAAGCACAATGGTCACTTCTCCTGCAACAGAAATGATACTCTAACAGAAAAGAAACAGGTGAAAAAAACTTCATAGATATGGTCTTTTTGTATTTTTTTTTTATAAGAATCACCGATGTTTTTGTCCCATTCGCATGTTTAATCAGTTCTTGAATTTGTTGTTTTAATTTATTATAATAAAACGTTTTAACTTTTATTACTTTTATACATTTTATTAATTTGAAAGTTTGGTCTTAATTGAAAAATAAGAAAACGTACCTAAAAATGCTTTACGGTAATTTTTGTCTCGTCGTCGTGCTAAATAATAGTTTATTATTATTATGTATTTTATTCGGTATTTACATACTCTGTGCAATTGGAGTACAGACCTAGTACCATTGAGTCTATAAATGGGGCCATCATATTTTCTTTGTATAACCAAGTGTTGGCAACATTAAAATTATTTTTATGCATGGCAATTGTATACCATTCGAATCGCTGTATTAAACTCTCTCGCATAGACGTGTCATTAAAAGTCTGTACACAAGAAAATAAATTTAAGTGTCTAAAAGTGGTTTAATTCAAGACCTACTCCACCAGCTTTACCGACAGGCAGGATTACTTCCACTACACTCAGGCAACCCCTGACATTGGTCCTTCGAAAAGAAAATTGATAGAACGCGCCAAGCGCCATCGCCCCAAGTCGGAAAGGCCAACACGGAGCTACATACCACAACGGACTACGAAGTGCGTGAGTGCAACAATATTACAGTAATCTTCGATCTACATTCCATCAGAGGTGACTGTGAACATTCACGAGACCTATCGTCTGTCTATTTCGCCGTGGACACCACTTTTTTCTGCAAGACGCCATTTTTTCCGTGTACCAAGCGCATTATAACATCGTGTCAGCATTAAAGAAACATTCGAGAGCAAATAATCTCCTGCAATAACAACCAGGACAAAATTTTTGCAAGCTAGCGTTAATAATCTCACTTTTAGTGCATACATACAAAGTTTATAAACGCCAACAACAAGCTGCATATACATTTTCAATATCGTCAAGAAAGCAACCATTTTGTTTTTTGTTCTGTTCGTCATATCCGCTTAAACATTAGACGAGGCAGCGGCAAAACGAGACGGAAGATCGCCTTCTCATTCGCGCTTGGAAGAAACTTACGAGGACGTCGCGCCATCTTTCTCGCACAGTGTGCAAGTGCTTTGTTTTGCGTCGGCAACACACGGATATTCGAACACTGTCAAGAACGGAAATTGATAAAAACAGTACTGTGAGCGTCTATTTTCTAGTACATTCTACGTTTTGCGCCATATTGTTTTTTTGCATTCCCGCTTAGGGAACTGGTTTTTTTTTGTGTCAAATTTCGAAATTAAGTGCGTTACGTACATATAGTTTGTTAAAATTATAAAAATGTGTGAAGTAGCAGCTTTAGTGGCTGCCAGGGGATATTTGAAGGCTTCACTGACTAGGCTGCACAAGTATATCGCCAAAGAAGAATATTCAACAGCGTCATGTTCTGAGCTTATGGCCAAAAGGGATCGCCTGATCTCGGCGTTCAAGGAATACGAGCGATATAACATTGATATTTTGAGTAAAAACCCAGATGATTCTGAAAATGTCGGCGACCAAGAAGATAAGTACATTTCAACATTGGCCAGATTGAACGATGAAATATCTTCTAGGAAGAGCAGCACTGGTGACGAAGAAGATATGCCCAGAAATCACACCCCCTTGGCACACACTAAGCTTCCAAGCGTGGAAATTGTAACATTTACCGGAAAGTATTGTGAGTACACAGAATTTATTAATATATTCAACTCTGTGATACATAACAACCCCAATTTAGATAAAGTACAACGTTTATACTATTTGCGAAATTTTGTAAGGGGTGAACCTCATGATCTTATAAAAAACTTACCTTTATGTGCTGAAAGCTACACAGAAGCTCTAAAAATATTAGCCGATAGGTACGCAAATAATACGCTCATAATGAATGATCATATCACACAATTAATTGATTTACCTAATGTTAAAAACACTTCATTATGTATTCGAGATTTTATATCACAAATAAAACAGCATATTGCTGCATTAAAAAACTTAAACTCGAATGTAACAGGTTGGGATCCAATTTTGTTGTGTATTCTTTTGCGAAAGATAGATTCTTATACAGCAAAGGATTTTCAGATGGACCGGGACATTCAGAAGTCCCCAACATTGGTAGAATTTATAGATTTTCTGCAAAAGAGAGCTTTGGCACTGGAAACCGTGGACGCCAATGGAAACCAACGGCATCCCTCTTCGAGCAACTCTGTCAGGGCAGTCGGTGTAAGGGCCTCGGTAAATGTGTCTACCTCTGCAGCACATTCTCATCCATGTCCATACTGTAAGTTATCTGGAAAAGATTCCCATCGATTATATTGTTGTCCAAAGTTTAAATTACAACCTGTTAAAGAAAGAATACAATTTGTAAACAAAAATAACATATGTAAAATATGCTTGAACCCACACTTAGGCCGGTGTAGGTACCACTTCAGGTGTAATACCTGCAAAAAAGCCCACAGTACCCTACTGCACAATAAATGTGACACAAATACAAACTATTCTGTTGAAAATGAGACCCCAGTGGTATTGATAGCACAAAATAATAAAAATAATCAAACTTTACTCCCCACAGCCAAGGTCAAGTTGATCCGAAGCGATGGTACTGAGGTACTCATCAAAGCCCTGCTTGATACAGGTTCCCAAGTCTCATTTGTCACTTCTCATGTAGTACAGGAGTTGGGGCTCATACCTAGAGAGAGCAACATTGACATTGTGGGGATTACTAATACCAATAATAAAATTAAATATAGTATTCCCCTCGAAGTCCACTCTCTTAATTCAGATTACAAACTAACAGTCAATTGTAGCGTGGTAGAACAAATAACATGCAAATTGCCTCAGCAGAAGTTTCGACAATTTACCTTACCTGCTGACATAAAGTTAGCCGATGACAGTTATAATGATCCTAGTGATATAAACATGCTGATGGGATGTGATATATTTTTTCAGATCCTCCTGCCTGAAAAAAAGCTGCATACAGTGGATGCTGCTAGCTCCAACTCAGCTCCGTGTATTATCAACACGCAATTTGGTCATATATTAGGAGGCAATATACTGAACAAAATTCACACACCCTCACAACATGTGTCCCTATTATGCACTTCTTGTGACTCAAGCATCAGCAAAACAATTAAGCAATTTTGGCATACTGAACAGGTTCCTCAAATATTCAATGAAAATGCCACAGAGTCTGAACTTTGTGAAGACATATTTAAAAAATCTGTGCAATTAATTAATCAGCATTTTCAAGTAGATTTGCCAGTGAAGGTTCCTTTAGAGCAGGTAAATCAACATCTAGGTGATTCATTTAATCTAGCACTCCAGAGGTTTGTAAACTTGGAAAAAAAAACTGCATAAAGATGAAACATTGTTTCAGCAATATAAAAAATTCATTGATGAAATTATATTCAGTTAGGACATGGCCGTTATATAGACATTAGGCAGTATGACTTTAAAACTGACCCTATTTACTTTTTACCTCATCATGCGGTCATCAATGAGAACAGTAAATCAACAAAATTAAGGGTAGTGTTTGATGGTTCTATGAAAACTAAAAAAAAAATATCCCTAAACAATATTCTACTTAATGGTGCTGTTGTACAGAAAGACTTATTTGAAATACTATTACTATTTCGCTTTGGTGATCATATTTTCACTACGGATATAAAGAAAATGTTTAGATGTGTTGCTATAAATCCAAAACATGCCTCATTACAGAACATCCTGTGGAGAGAGAATCCCAACACCGAGATCAGATGCATCCAGCTGACGACGGTCACCTATGGTCTAAAAAGCTCCAGTTTCCTCGCTACACGGTGTCTGGATGAGTTGGCAACTGTCTACAAAGATGAGCTTCCTCTTGCTTCTTCCATTTTAAAAAACTCAACATTTGTTGATGATGTTCTATATGCAGACTCAGATTTAAATAATACATTAGAAGCAAAAAATCAATTGATTGAATTATTAAAAAGGGGTGGTTTTAAAACGCACAAGTGGGCATCTAACATTCCTCAAATTTTGCAGGATATTCCCAAACATGAACAACATTTTGATAACATTGATTTGGAAAAACAAAATTTTAATTTAAAAAAACCTTGGGCATTGACTATAATGTAAAGAATGACTGTTTTACAATGAGCTGTCCTGAAAAGTTTGGTGACAGACCAATAACAAAAAGAGAAATCCTCAGTTACATCTCAAAATTCTACGACCCCCCTGGGTTTATAGCACCAATAATAGTGACTGCTAAAAGCTTTATCCAGACACTGTGGGCTACTAAAATAGATTGGGATTCTCCCTTGACAGGTGATCTGAGGAACAAGTGGGTACAATTTTCTAAAAGTTTAGATATTATGACACCAATTACATTGCAAAGAGTAGTTCCTACTGCATGTGCACGGTCTCTCGAGCTTGTGGGTTTTGCTGATGCTTCGAGTTCAATAGCTTATGGCTGCTGTATATACCTGCGAGTTAAACAAGAAGGTAAAGCAAGCTTATACTTACTTTGCTCCAAGTCTCGTGTTAATCCACTTAATAAGCCACTAACTGTGCCCCGATTAGAACTGAATGCAGCACTTCTGCTTGCAAAGCTAATGGTGAAAGTTCACAAAGCCATAAGCACAAAGATAAGCTTGCAAAATATATATTTATTTTCTGACTCTAAAATAGTCCTTGCATGGATCGGGACTCAGGTGACGCAGCTGAATGCTTATGTAGCTAACAGAATCCAAGTTGTGGCGCAGTTAACTGCCGGTTGGACTTGGCACTACGTCAGTACGAGCGACAACCCTGCGGATCTCATCACGCGCGGCGTGAGTCCCCAGGAGCTTGCAGACAACATGCTCTGGTGGACAGGGCCCTTATTCCTGCAAAACGATAAGTATGAATACTATAATAACCCTGATCTACCTACTTGCTTACCGGAAATGAAAGTTTCACTGGTAGACTCCAGGCTTTCCAGTTCCATTGTGCTTCCAGCAGTGCATAATACAATTGATATCTTTGAAAGGTATTCTAATATACATAAAATGACTAGAGTATTAGCATATGTATGGCGGTTTTATTACAATTCTAAAATAAAAGATAATAATCAAAGGATAAAAACTAGTTTTTTAACAAGCAAAGAAATAAATAACTCTTTATTATCGATAATAAAACGTGAACAATATAAATACTTTTCAAAAGAAATTAACTCATTAAAAAATAATGTAAACATAAATAATAGTGTGTTAAAAGCTTTGCACCCTTTTCTAGACAAAAGTGAAATGATGAGAGTGGGTGGGCGTCTACACAACTCTTCACTTTTGTATACACAAAAACATCCTATTATTCTTCCAAAAGAATCACGCATAACTGATATGATCATTCAAAGTGAGCACATAAGGCTTATGCATGCAGGTCCTAAATTATTGCTATCTGTATTAAATGAAAGGTATTGGTTAATTAATGGTCTTAGACATATAAAAAAAATAACATACAAATGTGTAACATGTTTCAGGTTAAAGGCTGAATCATCGAAGCAGTTAATGGGTTCCTTGCCGACACAAAGAGTTACACAAGCACATCCATTTGATAAAGTCGGTATTGACTATGCTGGGCCAATAGATATAAAGCAATCCAGGATAAGAAGGTCTATCATCTCAAAGGGTTATATTTGTCTTTTTGTATGCTTCACAACTAAAGCCATTCACATAGAATTAGCCTCAGACTTAACGACCGCAACATTTCTTTCCTGCTTCAAACGCTTTACCGCGCGTAGAGGACTACCGCATGAAGTGTTTTGTGATAACGCAAGTAATTTCAAAGGCGCAAGGAACCGATTGACTGATTTATATAATTTGGTCAGCTCTCAGAGTCACAAATCACAGGTCAATAATTATGCTTTACAAAATAATATTCGCTTTCACTTTATACCTAGTTACTCACCTGTGTTTGGGGGGCTCTGGGAAGCTGGAGTAAAAAGTACTAAATATCACCTGAAACGTGCGTTAGGAAATAATGTATTTACATTTGAGGAGATGTATACTGTTCTTACGCAAATAGAAGCAATATTAAACTCAAGGCCCCTAGTGCCTCTATCATCAAATATCGACGACTTCACTTACCTTACTCCAAGTCATTTTCTAGCTGGCAGGTCTATAGTATCATATCCTGAACATGACCTTTCTGATATTTCAATATCTAGACTTAGGCTGTGGAATGCCACAAACAAAATTGTGCAGACTTTCTGGCATACATGGCATAAGCATTATTTGAACAATTTACAGTCAAGACCTAAATGGAGGGCTGAAGTGTCAAATGTAAAGATAGGTGATCTTGTTTTACTCCGAGATGATGGTGTACCTCCCCTCATGTGGCCTATGGGTCGTATAACAAAAGTATTTCCTGGGAAGGATAATAAGATTAGGGCCTTTGAGGTAATGAATTCAAATAAAAAAACACATGTAAGGTCGATAACAAAAGTTTGTTTATTTCCTATTAATAATAATGATTATTGACCATATGTTCGTAGGCCATCTTAGGATGTGTAATTTTGTTGCGATGCCAAGAACACAAGTTCTCATATTTAAGTTTAAGTTTATTACTATGTTAAAATGTAATATTTTCAATGTTTTGGGGTGTCTGAGTTTGTTTGCTTTGGGATAACACTTTTCTTTATAATTTAAGATTGTTTTCTTTTCAAAATGTAAAAAGTTTTGAGATGTTTAAATAAGATTTTGGTGTATAAATTCCATAACTATTGTACTTTCTCGTGGCCCCCAATATGTTGGCAACATTAAAATTATTTTTATGCATGGCAATTGTATACCATTCGAATCGCTGTATTAAACTCTCTCGCATAGACGTGTCATTAAAAGTCTGTACACAAGAAAATAAATTTAAGTGTCTAAAAGTGGTTTAATTCAAGACCTACTCCACCAGCTTTACCGACAGGCAGGATTACTTCCACTACACTCAGGCAACCCCTGACACCAAGGCAACATTTCCATTATGATTTTCGTGAGATGAGGAGATATTTACGATTACATTACATGTCTAACACTCGATAAGAACATTTACAAGAAACATAATAAGAAACATTTTGCAAAAACGGTGTCATTCCAAAGATGTACCTTATAATTTCTTAATCAATAAAAATATAAGAAATACGAAAGTGCTTTTAATTAATTAACACACGTTTACTTACAAGTCATACTACCTGATAGTTCCTACAAATAACTATTACAGTGGCAAAATTATATATTCCATACCAGTATCAAGTAAATAAAATAAGCCTTTTTTTTTCTTTTTTACGTGGGAAAAATCCTTTATCCCCCGCTGCCTTGTGGGTAAGCAGCAGGGGTATGTGGGAGTTACACGTACCCACTAAAAAACCCACGTTGCACCTGCGCTATCGCTTTGCCGGGGACACGGGAACACGAGAACGCAATCTTACGCGAACCCCGGCGCGACTGTGGCCTTCTCAGGCCTCCTCTCCCCGGGTGTTAGGGACACCCGGTCCAGTCAAATGGTGCCGTGTCGGTGCAATGAACACGGCACCCCTCTCAAGCTCTCCGCGGGGCAGCAGTTAGTCCCACATCTGCCGCCCCGGGGCTTGCTATCAGGGGGGAAGGTTGCGCGCGTAGGCTAGCCTCCTGCGCCCTGGTCTCCGGCGGCGGATTTCCAGGGTGAAATAAAATAAGCCTAGCTTAACTTGCATCACAAGTTATCAATATGTTTGGCGTGCAAAACTAGTGTCGGTAAGGTCGGAACATTCGCTTTAAACTCGAAAATCCCGCTTGCAGTTGGTAATTATTTGATGTTGTTATTCTTTAGACTTTGCGCATCTTTGTGGGATAACGGCCGCTTAATTTTAAAACTAGTTATTTCTTTACGATTGCTCACAAATATTTTCATTATGTTGTTAGATCGAGCGATAAACGAATCTTTTGTTTATATTCGAATTGTTCAGTAGTTCAAAAACTGATAGTCGCTTTTAAGGTAGACCACCGACAGTGTACCCGATTTTACATGTGTATGTGTTTGTATGTAACATGGCACATAATACGCATCGCATTTCGTTAGTGAGCGTGCCACAAAGTAATAAACTGTAAGTTTTGATTCGAGGAGATCAATTCTACGAACATGGAGTAGGAGTTCATTTCTTTACGGGGTACTAAAAGTAAATTGCAACAACAATATATCTTGGAAACGGCTTTATGCATGAGATGAGTAACGTTAAATAAATTAGGGTCTGTTTAAAATAACTGTTAGGAAACTCAAGTGAAATAGACTTGTCTTGTCTTAAGAAATACTATAAAATAAATATATAAATTAAAAGCAGCCAGTCGCTCATGTTACTTCATTCTTATCATTCTGGTTCTTCATTCATCTTTTAATTATATACACAAGAAAGATATGTAGATTTTATGAAATAAATATTTACGAAGATATCACCGTGACATGTTCACGTAATAGCGTCTTAGTCATAATTAAGATAATAATTAAAAAAAAAACTAAATAAATAAATAAATAGCCTTTTTAATTCTGCATCTGTAAACAATTTCAATGTTTTAAATATGTAGTAACTATTTCCTAAGTACAACACTAAACCCTACTCCCACCCAATTTTCAATAAATATGGGTATTTATTATGATCATATATTTAATCTATAAACTTTAATGAAATGCTGGATGCAAGAATATAGACCATCGCGTAAAAGCACGGAAAATACGTCACACCTTTAGAATAAAAGGGAACTAATTAAGAAAATCATGATTTTCACTTTATGTCAGAAAACAACCTAAAATGACTACTTTTTCGGCTCTTATAAAAACAAGGGTCGATCTTGGCGTAGAAAGCAGCTACATAACGTATTCTTCGGACAATTTCGTTGCGGCTGGCACCGCGATTTGAACTAAGGTTGCTCAAGTATATAATTTAATGCCAGTACCCAGACATTGACGGGGCATGGCTCACGAACCCCAGAGAGTACAAAAATTAAAACAAAACTGCTAATCAAAGAAGCAAATTATTTTATTAACGAACAACAAAACCGGCTTCATATATCGCGCTCTGTATTCATCTTATAAAGGATTGTCAGGAGTTCCTTATCTCCGGAGCCCATGATTCAATAGCAATGAAATTATATGGGCACCACATGGGAAGCACCAGCTTTCAATTAAAAAAATAATCTCTTGTATTTACGCGATTACACATTATAAATGAAACTAATTTTACGGATTTATCGCGTTTATTTTTAACTTTAATTCCCGACGTGTCGGACCCTTTACAGCGTTCATGGTCACGGGACTGTCGGTAAAAATAAACGCGATAAATCCGTAAAATTAGTTTCATTTATAAAAAAAAAATCGTCAAAATCGGTTCATTCCGTCGAAAGTTCTAAGGTAACAAAATTAAAAAAAAAAATACAGTCGAATTGAGAACCTCCTTCTTTCTTTTTTGAAGTCGAATGAAAAGAGTACGCACCACGAGTTTATAGAGGAAGTTTGTTAATAAAAAAAAAATAAAACAAGACAAAAGCCAAAATATCGTTTTGAAAACTAGGTATTTTCATAAACATTCATGTGAGTTTGAGCTAATCGTTGAGCACTAAAAAATCATTGCTACCGCACTCGTTATTTGCTATCTATAATGTATTAGCCTTAATGCAGTTTGGCTCCGCTCCATATTATGAAATGACCGCAAACTGAACCGAATTCGCGGAGCTTACGTTCATAACAATTATTAGATTGTGCTTTGTTAGTTTAACATTTTTATAATACAATACTGATCTCGTCAATTTAATACCTTGTTATGGAAAAGAAGTAGTGGCATCACAGAAGAAAAGACAATTCACACTTATTTTCGCCCATGGTTGAAGAACCAGATTTTTTACCTTTTTTTCTTATTTTTTTATAAGAAGTCCAAATATTAATTTCTTTACAAAATACTAGCTACATTCACTCTGTATATATTTTTGCACAATAGTGTATTTAACTGAAAAGTGATACTTTAATTTTGATGATACACTATACTAAATATCACACATTATACTAAATATTGGCAATCGCTGCAAAGATAAAATTATATGAGTGTGAATCAAGGTTTAACTTTCGAAATACGAATAGTACAGCCTCTAAAATCAATGGATGCATTTAAATGCAAAAATGGGATGGTGTCTGTTAATTAGTTTTCTTTTATGTTTATCGTTTAGTTTAGTGACATCAAACTATGTTTAAATTAAAAAAAACGGTAATCCATGTAGTTTTTTAAATTGGTAGTATTTAAAGATGACAGGATATTACATATTAAAGGGATCGTAGCATGAAATCTATTTTTATAGTAAAGAAAGAAATTTTAGATTGGAAGAAATTTTATTTTAAAATTATCAAGCATCGTTAAAAATATGCAATTGAAAACTTAAATCTGAATATAAATCAGAGAGGTATTAATACAGGTTGTGCAGCGTCTCTTAACTTCTTTGCCTGCAATTTAAATTGCATGCAATCTTGCTTTCTCCTACAACGATCCAATCAACGTAAAACTTTGATGGCGTATAGAAGCGAATCGCCTGTGAAATATTCTGCGAAATCCATCGTATGAAAGAATTTGTAACACGTAATATTAATACTAAAAGGAGGAATGAATAAACTTAATTCAAATAAACTTATTTTTTATAATTAATTAGATATAATTTACCTAGAAATTTTAAATTGTTTGTAGTGCTAATCTTTGCACTTAAGATTGAACATTAAAATATGTAGAAAAAGTGCGAAAAGATTGTCGCCGCTGTGGGAATCGAACCCAAGTCTTCGGCATTCGCGGGCTGACGCTCTAGCCACTGAACTAAACGGCTGATTACCACACCGACGAAAATCTTAACGCATTCCTCCACATTTTTTTCTTAGCATTTGAAGCAATGCTTGGCGCCATCTATTGTTATATCCTTTCCAGCATACAAACAACTTCGAATATCGTTTTACAACGATAATTCGAACGAGAGATGTCGCCATTGCTTTTTTTAGAAATTTTAAATTGTTTATAGTGCTAATCTTTGCACTTAAGATTGAACATTAAAATATGTAGAAAAAGTGCGAAAAGATTGTCGCCGCTGTGGGAATCGAACCCACGTCTTCGGCATTCGCGGCCTGACGCTCTAGCCTCTGAGCTAAACGGCTGATTACCGCACCGACGAAAATCTTAACGCATTCCTCCACATTGTTTTCTGTAGGGCGCTTTGGCGGGCGCTCCATGGAGTGATCAGGCTCAAGCATTTAGCATTCCGATTCGAG